CCAGAGAACCGCCAAAGACACGCCGCAGGCCCAGGCCCAGCGCTCACGACGAAGCACAGACTCATCACGATCACCCTCATCATCATCATCATCATCATCATCATCATCATCATCATCATCATCATCATCATCATCGTCATCATCATCATCATCATCATCATCAACAACATCAGCATCATCATCAACATCATCAGCAGCATCATCATCAACATCAGCAGCATCCCCAACATCATCATCATCACCATCATCATCATCATCATCATCATATCATCATCATCATCATCATCATCATCATCATCATCATCATCATCATCATCATCATCACCATCACCACCATGACCAACAATATTTATTATTTTTCTTCTTCTTCGTCTTCTTCATTTTGGATGGGGCTGTCGGTGTTGCCACGGGAATGTCGGGGAGTTACAATTGTTTCACCAAGGGCGTTTTCCCCATGTTTCGGGCCCCGGGGCCCTCACATATCATTCCGGCTCGAGAAATGGTGCAGGAAAATGGGGGGCTAAGGCTTTGGTTGAGATTGTTCGCGGTGTTGCGATGTTTTGGCAACGTCGGATCTCAGGGTTTTCCAGTTGAGACACCAAATCGTCAGCCCAACAGCAGCCGCTTTCGGTTTTGGACAGCGTGTGCTGTTGGGTATCGAGTAGGGAATCGACTGCAGAATTGATGTATCCCATAATTGGTATTTTCCCGTCGAAGTTATCAGCAGTACCTAGGATGTTTGTAGATCTACGAAGCATTCTGCGTATGTGTCGTAGATCTGCGAGGCCACGCTCAGGACATGTGGGCGTTTGCGTGCGTACCAAGGTGCAGCAGGCCTGGAACAGACCCAGACATCTGACGATCTGATGTTATTCGATCTCGGCGTTTCTCTTCGACTTCGACCCGCGGGGGCAGATTACGGGCCATGGGGCCGAAAATGAATCCGGGACGAAAAAACACTCCCGAGGAAACGGTCGGTACTTCTGGGGCCGTGGATTGAAAAGATCTGGGATGTCAACAGAGCATTCCCGCTGCGACCACTTGGGGCGCTTGCAATGCACGACCACTGCTTCATGCACGGCCGGAACAGTGATGCGTGCGCATCGTTTCTTGAAGCGGAATTGGGACATTCAGTTCGTAGCTTGGGACAAAGTGCACATAGCAAAAACTGAATGAGCGGTGCCTCGGCACCTCCTCCCCGGCCCGCACGTGGCCGCCCCATAAGGGCGAACTCCGAATTTGTTCTGCGCTGTTCTTGCACGCCGCGGTATCCGATGATGCGAGGTGTGCGGAATTCGTCGGTGCGATGTAAGCACGCATGCAGCGCGCACGCCGTGCTGTGTGTCCTGGCGTGCCGTTCGCATAAGCGTGCCACTGTCGAAGCGGAGTTGAACGAATAAAATGCATAGCACGCGTGCCCAACATTGGCGGCAGTCGAAGGTCTGCCCCGAGGAAGGCACCGACCTCGACTCCATACGTCATTACTCCAACTGTCCTCGTCTGAAAAATCTTATCTGTAAATGGCTGGGTCCTCAATGAGAGAGCGTGATCCACCGCCGCTTTACTGTGGAAAATTGCCGCCCTTTTCCTCCGGAACCCGGGGTTCCCCCCCGCCATCCGAAAATCCCCTCCTCCCTGCTGGGCCCCCCCCCCCCCCTTCCCCCAGCAAAACGCCCCCCCTCCCCTAACCCCTCCCCCCCCCCCCTCCATCGAAAACTGGGGGGCACTACCGGTTCGAACCCCCCCCCCCTCTCGAAAACCGGGGGGTCACTACCGGTTCAACCCCCCCCCCCCCCTCGAAAACCGGAGGGGGGGTCACTTCCAGTTCGAACCCCTCCCCACCCCCCCTCTCGCCGCCAGCAAACGACCCCCAGTCCCTACCACCGTCCACACCACATCCCCCACTGTTGTTCCCAGCACCACTGTCCTCACCACCGCTGTCCCCACTGGTTCCACCACCGTCTCTATTGTCCCCACCAGTGCCCCCACCACTGTCGCACTGTCCCCACTGTCCCCGCCAATGTTCCCACCACGGTTCCACTCTCCCAACTTTCTCCACGACTATCCCCACTGTCCCCCCTGTCCTACTGACTCCTCCGCTGTCCCACTGAGCTGTCCCACTGCTCCCACCACTGTCCCCACTGTCCCCACCACTGTCCCCACTGTACCTTTGTCCCATTGTCCCACCGCCGTCCTCGCCACCGCCTTCACCACTGTCCCCACCACCACTGTACCCTCCACTGTCGTACTGTTTCCACCACATTCCCACTGTTCCCACACCGCTGTCCCCACCACCACCGTCCCCACCACTGTCCCACTGTCCCCACTGTTCCCACCATTGTCCTCACCATTGTCCCCACCACTACCGTCCCCACCACATTCCCACTGTCCCCACCACTGTCCCCGCTGTCCCCTCACCACTGTCCCCGCCACCGCCGTCCCCACCACTGTCCGCACCCCTCCTCGGTTTTCGAGGAAGGGGGGGGGTTCGAACTGGTAGTGGCCCCCCCTCGGTTTTCGAGTTCGAGGCGGGGGGGGTTCGAACCGGTAGTGACCCCCCCCCTTTTCATGATGAGCGGGGGGGGGGGGAGGGGTTCGAACCGGTCATGACCCCCCCGGTTTTCCGGAGGGGGGGGGGGGGTTCGAGCCGGTAGTGACCCCCCCCGGTTTTCCGCCAGCAGCGGTAGAACACGCTCTTTCCAATATTCTGTTCAACTACCCGTGGACCCCCGCTGGTTCCCCTCCTGTCTCCTCCTCTTGTTTGGCGATGTGCCCGCCTAGCTGAAACATGCTGCCTGCCTCGACGCCTTCCTCGCCGCGCAACGCGCTCGGGTCGCCCTAACAAGCGCTGGAGGCGCCCGCTTACGCGTCGCCGCCCGCCGTCGCCCCACCCTGTCCGCTGCCTGGTCTTCTGGGCGTTTCCCACGCGCTCGAATGCTCACTCGTGCTCCTGCCCCGCCGATCAGGCGTGGGGGGGGGGCGCTTCCACGCAGGGGCCCTGGGGCGCCCCGTGGCAGCTGGGAGCTTCCCGTGATCCTGGCTGGGCGTGGGCTTTGGTGCCGTCGCACTTCTCGGGGCGCCGCCCCCGACCACCTCTTCCGACAAGGAGCTAAGAGGGCCAGCCTGAGCCAGTCCGCGTTTTTATGTTTTATGGTAACATTTTGTTTTACTTGTTATATATATATACGTGTGTATATATATATATATGTTTATACATCTATATATATATATATAGAGAGAGAGAGAGAGAGAGAGAGAGAGAGAGAGAGAGAGAGAGAGAGAGAGAGAAGTTGTACCTGTCGGCGCTCCAGGAAAATATGCTTATGTCGGTGCAGGCTCCGCTGGCCTGCACTCCGAGGTGCCCTCGCTAGTGCAGCCGCAAGCGCGTGCGGACGCTCTCACGCGCGGCCGCTGGAGCTAACCGCTCCACCTAAGACGGCGTGCTGCTCGAAGATCTCGGTGCCGTCGAGCAGGGTGCCCGTGCTTGCGCGCCGTTCCTGACGACGCTGGAGCCTCTCGACCTCCTTGCTCTCCAGCTTCTGGATGGTCTGCATCTCCCTCTCGGATGCCTCCATGACGCTCTGCAGGTTCTCCAGGCCGTTCTTCGCGATCCGCATCGCAAGCTCACGCCAGTTGCGCGACGAGAAGTACTTCCTCCCTGCTGCTTGCCACGCGCCCACAGGGTACCTTGCAATCAGTTCGCAGCCCTGTACGTGGTGCGTCATCGGGAAGACGGGTGGGATCATCTCCTGCAGGTCATCTGGGCTCTGCTTCTGGGCTGCGTCGAAAAACTGGTGGTGGTGCTCTTTGATGGCGTCGTCGAGCTTCTGCGGCAGCCTCTCGGCTGCAAATGCCTCCCACTTGCCATTAATGAGCAGCTCCACCACCATCGACGGGCCGTTGCGGTGCGGGTGGAACCGCGACATGCAGCCGATTTCGGGCCACTTCGTGTGGTCCTAAGTGAAATTGATCTTCATGTTGTCCGCCCATTCTTTCATGAGCTGGTCCTCGGGGGAGCTCTCCTGGGCAGTCACCAGTGCTTTTTCAGTCCACTTTGCACCATAACTTCCGCTGCTCTGACCGTGAGTTAGCGCTGGGGCCCCTCCACCACGGCTTGTTGGGGAAGGCTTGTTGGGGAAGGCGAGGAGGAGGAGGAGGAGGAGGAGGAGGAGGAGGAGGAGGAGGAGGACGACGAGGAGGAGGACGAGGAGGAGGAGGAGGAGGGAGGAGGAGGAGGAGGAGGAGAGGAGGAGGAGGAGGAGGAGGAGGAGGAGGAGGATGGGCAACCTTCCCAAGGGTACCCTGATATCCCTGCCCCTTCGGCCCATCCTTAGCGGCTTTCGCTGGCCAGCCTCGCTCGAAAAACGTTAGCATGGCCCTCCAAAGCCCTTGCATCATTACCGCGCATCCTTATGATACGGGCTGGCTGTTTTACCACCAACACCACAAGGCTGGCTGTTTTACCACCAACGCCACAGTCTAAGATCATATTACCCCTGTGGAGCACCCCCCCGTGTTGGTGCTGCTGCTCATGCCCAGGCCTCCAGTCTTGGGGAGGCCTCGCCGCCGCGGCGTGACGCGACCTCGGGCAGAGGTCCGATGGTGACGGAGAGCGCTCCAGGGGCAGGTCCTGAGCGGACCTTGGCTCGGTCATTGCGCGGGGGGGATGGTAAAGTGCCTCTTGACTCTTGGGCCGCTCGGATAGGGCCTCGGGGAGGCCCACACCCAAAGATCTGTTGCCTTGACTTTTGCAATGCGCTGCCCCTGGAAATCACGACCCTTTTCCCTCCAGGGTGGGCATTTCATTCTGAGTCGCTTTTTGATGGTCCCAGGACCTGGCGAGGGCCTCCAGATGCTGAAAGCGGCGAAACACCTCCGCCTCGATTGTTCGAAGACTTCGGAGGTCGGGGGAGCGGGGCGGCGCTCCTCCCCCGCTGGGGCTCCGCGCTGCTGGTGCGCCCCCGCAGACGCGCGCGCGCGCGAACACAGGAGGGTGGTGCCTGCACCACCGGCACGTAGGAGAGGTTTCCCACGTAGTGTGCAGGGTCTGAGCCTCCTGCCGGAGCGGAAGAAGACTGCAGCCATCACGGCGAATAGGCAACGAAGGGGCTTTTCTGGCTAGGGCGAGCTTCGGTGTAGAATGCAGTGCGACACATACGATTAGAGCTGTTGCTGTGAGAGATCATGGGTTACATTCTTCCCCGATGTTTGCGGGTCTTGAGATGCCCCAGAGACTTCTGTGGGTCCCTGGGGCCTTCGGGGATGATAACTTTCTCCGTAGTGGCACCTGCTGGCAAACAGACCTCTTCTGTGCTGTGCCTGCTGTGCATTCACGGACCTGGATTTACGTTGCTCCCATCGTACTTAGGAGCCACATCCCAGAAACAATTTCGAGCACACAGAGAAGCGTCGAAAGAGTGTCGAAACAGTGTCGGACGAGTGTCTCCCAGGGCCCGACGCGTGGAAACCCTAGAGTTTTTGGGTACTTTCTTGGTGCTCGAAATTCTTTCTGGCGATCAAGGCTAAAGTAGGTTGGAACATCATAACCCTGGATCCAGGGAGCGGCCCGAAGACTGGAGACCCTCCTGAGCCTGAAGAGGTCCCTCTTTTAGCGTCTTGGCTGTGGGCGCGCGGCGCTGTCCCCACAGCGTGGACCACCCAAATTTCTGGCCGCCTTTCCCGGGACCAACTCTCTTTTTTTTTCATCCCGGAGGCGCCGCCGGGGGGGTCCAGCGCGGATCCAAGGATTCCGCGCGGAGCGCCAAAAGTTTATGCTTATGGCGTTTTTGCTTCTCCGCTTCTTGACGGTCTCGGGGCGCGGACAGGGTCCCCCCAAGGTGAGGGGCAACGACAAGGGGGGGACTGGTATAAAGGGGGATGCATCGACCTGGAATCGGCGATACATCGATCGGATTCGCACCTTCCTGGGCAGGTTGGGGCTATCGGGCCCCTGTCGGCGATCAATGGGTGATTGGGGGTCGATGCATCCCCCCCTATACCTATCCCCCCCTGTCGTTGCCCCTGACAAGGGCAGGGAGGGACCACCCCCCCCCCGTCTGGGGGGTCTGGGGCGATGGTGCCCGAGCGCGCGGTCCGCGATCACGGCCAGCGCGGCCACGGCAGCACCTCCGGCCACGAGGTCGATCGGGCGACCAGGCCAGGCCGCTCGCGTGATCGGTGCTCACGATCAAAGGCCACACCACCACGAGAGGCCAGCGAGCAGTCGCGAATGGCTTGTTCGTGAACGGATTGCGACATGGCTGAAATCATAGTGCGTTCGCGTTCCTTCTGTACGTTCATGTATTATGTGCAAGGTATACCAAGAAACTTTGGGCAAGGACCGACCGTCCCGGCACTCTTATAGGCCCACCACGGCACGTTCTCAGAAACCAGGGGCCGCTCTAAGAACGGAAACAAGGCTCTTAGACCATAAGCCCGATGTGTTAAAACAAGACAGTCTCGGCCAGACATGTTCTGAGAACGCGCCGCGCAGACAACAAAAGGCTATCATAACATTCTCTGGCGGACCTCTAGGCGAGCCAGGGCGCTCCGCCACTGCCCGAACCCTTCGGGGGGCCACGCGCTGCATGCGCACATGGAAGCGCCCGGCCTGCACGGCGACAGCAGGCAGGAGCGCCCAGAAGCCATCTGGCGACATGTGTATCCAGCTCTCGCCCGGGCCAGCCGCGTCAGGTGGGCGACTTCGGAAACCCTGTGCCCAAAAACGTTTTCATCTCTTGGGGGGCGCATCTTTTACTTCCGCCGCCCTCCGCCGCCCTTCCGCCAGCTTTCCGCCGGCGGAGGCGGCCTCGTTTTGCTTCCGCCGACCTTCCGCCGCCTTCCGCCGAGGAAGAGATGACAACTCCTTCGATCCTCGAAGGCAGGGCCAGCCCTGGAACGCCGTATGTGTATCCAGCTCTCGCCCAAGGTGGCCGCGTTATGAACATCCAACTTCCTGCTAAATTTGGTGTTGCATCTTCGGGGGACCTCGTCTATCCAGTCGCGCCGCGATCCACGTCGAATCCGTGTCGAATCCGTAACGAACACATCGAATCCGTGTCGAATCCGTGTCGCATCCGTGCAGGATCCTTGCCAAATCCACGCCGAAATCCGCGTCGAGCCCACGTCGGAAAACAAGGAAAGACTTCCATTTACAGGACAGGAAAGGCCCCCCGAAGATGCAAAATGATAGATTATCGGCGTCGGCGGCACTCGGGGAACAACAACGAAACGATGCGGCTCAACCTGTGCAAAACCGCTTCGCAAGACAAAACGGCACCGCCAAGCAGAAAACGCAGGGTCGGATCACCTGCAGCGATAAACGACGGATGGTCGGTGCTTGATTTGCGGTCCCCCTCATCCGCGTCCTGCAATTACTTCTGCTCCCGTTCCTCACGCATGACCCCCGACTGGGCGCTCAGAACTGACGCCACCGAGTCATCTTGGCTGCACCTTGGAAAGCCCTCTCCTCGACGAAGAGGGTCGTGCCTTCCAAAAGCCGGTCCACCGACAGAGCCAAATCGTGGTGAATCACGAGGGAGTCGGACCGCACCTCCACCAGGACTTGGAACACGGGCTTCGAGACCCTCTCGGTCTGCACCTTGCGGTGATCAGACCTGGCACGTGCGCTGCTGTCCCCGAGAGTGACCTGCTGAAGGCCGCCGATCAGGTCTCGGAGCTCCACGTTGCCCATCAGGTCTCGCAGTGAACTTCCGTGTGCAGTGGCGATGATGCGCACACCCCTCGCACCGACCGTCTTGGCAGCCTTGGCCTCTCCGGGCGTTCCGATCTCGTCCACGACGACGACCTGCGGGTTCAGGTTCTCGACGACTGACACCATGCCCTCCCGGCGCGCCTCGCTCCGATCTTTTTGCCCCGCGGTGTACGCCGGGTACTTCCAGGCTGGAAGCACCGACGGGTGGCACTCGTCCCCACCGCCTACATTGGGTCGGGCGTGTCCGCGTACAAGCGGATTTGGGACGAAACATGAAACATTGTAAAAGAAATGCCGCTAAAATGGTCAAACATAATTAAAAAGTATCCCGGCAAAGCAACCTAACAGCGATGTGTAGGAGCATATCTGGAAGCATTCCCCTTGAGATTCAGATGAGAATCCAGTTGTAGAATTCTGCTGTTCTCGCAGTCGTAGTCGCATTCGCGATGACAGTCGCAGTGGCAACGGCAGTCGCAGTCACAGCCTCAGCCTCAGCCTGCCTCAGCCTCAGCCTCAGCCTGCCTCAGCCTCAGCCTGCCTCAGCCTCAGCCTCAGCCTGCTTCAGCCTCAGCCTCAGTCTGCCTTCAGCCTCGGCCTCAGCCTCAGCCTGCTCAGCCTCATCAGCCTCAGCCTCAGCCTCAGCCTCAGCCTCAGCCTCAGCCTGCAGCCTCAGCCTCAGCCTGCAGCCTCAGCCTCAGCCTCGGCCTCAGCCAGCCTCAGCCTCAGCCTGCAGCCTCAGCCTCAGCCTCAGCCTGCCTCAGCATCAGCCTGCCTCAGCCTCAGCCTCAGCCTGCCTCAGCCTCAGCCTCAGCCTGCTTCAGCCTCAGCCTCCTCAGCCTCGGCCTCAGCCTCAGCCTGCCTCAGCCTCAGCCTGCAGCCTCAGCCTCAGCCTCAGCCTGCCTCAGCCTCAGCCTCAGCCTCAGCCTCAGCCTGCAGCCTCAGCCTCAGTCTGCCTTCAGCCTCGGCCTCAGCCTCAGCCTGCCTCAGCCTCAGCCTGCATCAGCCTCAGCCTCAGCCTCAGCCTGCCTCAGCATCAGCCTGCCTCAGCCTCAGCCTCAGCCTGCCTCAGCCTCAGCCTCAGTCTGCTTCAGCCTCAGCCTCAGTCTGCCTTCAGCCTCGGCCTCAGCCTCAGCCTCAGCCTCCTCAGCCTCAGCCTGCATCAGCCTCAGCCTCAGCCTCAGCCTGCCTCAGCCTCAGCCTGCCTCAGCCTCAGCCTCAGCCTGCCTCAGCCTCAGCCTCAGCCTGCCTTCAGCCTCGGCCTCAGTCTGCCTTCAGCCTCGGCCTCAGCCTCAGCCTGCCTCAGCCTCAGCCTGCATCAGCCTCAGCCTCAGCCTCAGCCTGCCTCAGCATCAGCCTGCCTCAGCCTCAGCCTCAGCCTCAGCCTGCAGCCTCAGCCTCAGTCTGCCTTCAGCCTCGGCCTCAGCCTCAGCCTGCCTCAGCCTCAGCCTGCATCAGCCTCAGCCTCAGCCTCAGCCTGCCTCAGCATCAGCCTGCCTCAGCCTCAGCCTCAGCCTCAGCCTCCGCCTCAGCCTCAGCCTGCTTCAGCCTCAGCCTCAGTCTGCCTTCAGCCTCGGCCTCAGCCTCAGCCTGCCTCAGCCTCAGCCTGCATCAGCCTCAGCCTCAGCCTCAGCCTGCCTCAGCATCAGCCTGCCTCAGCCTCAGCCTCAGCCTGCCTCAGCCTCAGCCTCAGCCTCAGCCTGCTTCAGCCTCAGCCTCAGTCTGCCTTCAGCCTCGGCCTCAGCCTCAGCCTGCCTCAGCCTCAGCCTGCATCAGCCTCAGCCTCAGCCTCAGCCTGCCTCAGCATCAGCCTGCCTCAGCCTCAGCCTCAGCCTGCCTCAGCCTCAGCCTCAGCCTGCTTCAGCCTCAGCCTCAGTCTGCCTTCAGCCTCGGCCGGCCTCAGCCTGCCTCAGCCTCAGCCTGCCTCAGCCTCAGCATCAGCCTGCCTCAGCATTCAAAATGTGGCCCGGGAATGGAGTTCTGGGAACTCGAAGAATACGAAGTGGCCTACAGTTGGCTCCGGGCATTCAAAATCATGCCCAGGAGTGGAATTCTGGGAACTCGAAGAGCACGAAGTGGCCTACAGTTGGCTCTGGGCATTCAAAATGTGGCCCGGGAGTGGAGTTCTGGGAACTCGAAGAGCACGAAGTGGCCTACAGCTGGCTCCGGGCATTCAAATTGTGGCCCGGGAATGGAGTTCTGGGAACTCGAAGAGCACGAAGTGGCCTACAGTTGGCTCCGGGCATGCAGAATGTGGCCCGGGAATGGAGTTCTGGGACCTCGAAGACCACGAAGTGTGTAACTGTTTGCTTAAAACGATTTCCGCGGCTTCTCCCCGGCACCCG